CGACCTTACTGAAGAAATAGCCCAAGCAAAGGTGCTGGAAATCGATGCCAGATTTCTCGTTTCTTCTGATGATGAAGATGCTGTTAGTGGTTCTGAGGGTGGGGGTGATGAGGAAGGAGTCCCTGAGGAGGAAGAGGTTCCTAAAGATACAACTCCCAAGGATGTAGTTCCTGAGGGTGTGGCTCCCGAGGATGTGGCCTCGAAATAGATTAGGTTCTTTTTTGTTTCTTCGTTTTTGTATAAGGGCTCCTCGTGGATGTTGTAAATATATTTTGTAAATTATATTTTATAAATATAAAGAATTCCTTTGCTTCATCTCCAATTTGCTTTATCTCCGATTTTTATTGAATTCCGCATTGTCTTTATTTTGTGAAAGTTTTTGATAACTTCAATGATCAAGTGAACATTGGCTCGGACTCTGAATATAAAAACCCTTAGGTTTCTTAGTAATCGATGGGCGATATTCGAATTTATAATAGAATACCTCTTAAGGTTTTTGTTAATCCTTGAGCTATGTTTAAGTCGATTTGATGCGAGCTCAGGACGATGGGACTCTTGAGTCCGATTAAGTGAGAGTAAGATATCGAACTCCGCATGCTTCGGCCCTTAGGCTATTTTATATTGGCCCTTAGGCTTTTTAGGTCGGCCCTTAGGCTCTTGAAGTTGGGCCACTTCAGCCTCTAAGGCGGCTATAATTGTTCCCTATTTTCGGCTAAAAGACTTAGTTAAAATTTCTTTATGCCTTAGCATGTGTTTTTTGTTCCTGTTGAGTTTTTCGAAGGTTCGATCAATCAGAACCTCATTTGTAATCCGTTTGTGTTACGATAATTGAATACCTCTTGAGGCTTTTTTTGAAGGCTGGTTTTATCAAAGCCTTTAAATTATTTGAGGGCTGATTTTATTGAAGCCCTTTTTGCTTTTGTCGAGGGTAGCCTAGTTTCACCGGTTTTTCAAAGCATTTCAAGGCCATTAACTTATGGCAAAATTCGGGCGTCTCCAAGCCGCATTATTTTGGCCGTAGCCTTTAATATGGCTGTAGCCTTGGGGTATGTCTCTTGGAATTATTTCCCGATAACCCTTTGAAATTGTTCAAAAGGTTAGTCCCCGAGTATGATGGCCTTGGCCTTTATGTCGAGGGGATGACTCTTTGAGGTCTTATGAATTCGTGTTTAGATGACTCAAATGCGTTGACTGTCGATGACATTCCCCGAGTATTCGAGGTGTATTCACGTTTTGGCCCTTGAGCCATTTCTTGCAAAATCGCAAGTATGATGTTCATATAGTAACAAATTTCTTTGAGACACAGAGTGTTTTTTGATATAGAAAGAATGTTTCTATGAATAATTTGATACATGCGTACATGTTTTGTCGTCTGAGCTCGACTATTCTATATGGACAAGGTTCATCTGACCATTTGGTCCATTACAAAGTTTTCCTATCGATGCCCTCTTTGGCATGAGGTATTTTCCTCGAAAATATAATCTCCGAGAGTGATGCCCCCGAGTATTCGAGGTTGATTGAAAAGAAGCCTTGGATACTGTTGAGTTCTCCTTAGGTAGCACATAGTTATTTTCTGGTAAAACCCATTTGGGACAAAATCCGATCTAAGGGAAAAAGAGTGCAAAACGTGCTTTAAAACCCAAGGTCTTCGTGTGGAAAGGTTCCCTCGAGATCGATCGAACACCTGCAATGAGTTAGCCTTAAATTTACATGAAAAAGGAGAAGGCCATACCTTATCAGTAATATCGCTTGAGTAATGATACACTTCAGTTGTTTGGAAATTGCTCGCCTTCCATCGTGCCAAGTTTATAAGATTCTTCACTGACAACTCCGATGACTCGGTACGGTCCTTCCCAATTCGGGCCTAGTTTCCCTTCATTCGAGTCTCGAGTATTGAGGGTGACTTTTCGTAGAACTAAGTCCCCCATTCTGAAGTGTCAAAGGTTGGTCCTTCTATTATAGTATCTCTCGACTCTTTGCTTTTGTGCGGCCATTCGAACGAGCACTGCTTCTCATTTTTCATCCAATAACTCGAGGCTAGTATTCATAGCCTCGTGATTTGACTCCTTCGATGCATGTTGAAACCTGGTGCTGGGTTCTCCGACTTCGACCGAGATTAAGGCCTCAGAGCCGTATACAAAAGAGAACAGAGTAGCCCCCGTGCTGGACTTCGATGTCGTTCGATATGCCCAAAGAACCTCGGGTAGAACTTCTCGCCATTTTCCTTTTGCATCGTCCAACCTTTTCTTTATGTTTTGAATGATGGTTTTATTTGTTGACTCGGCCTATCCGTTCCTGGTTGGATGATAAGGCATTGGTAAAATCCTTTTTATTTTGTGTGCTTCAAGGAACTCCGTAACCTTGATGGCGATGAATTGCTTTCCATTGTCGCACACGATTTCGGTGGGTATCCCGAATCGACACACGATGTTGCCCCAAAAAAAGTCAATAACTTCTCTTTCTCTGACTTTCTCAAAGGCTTGTGCTTCCACCCATTTAGAAAAGCAGTCAGTCATAAACAAAATGAATTTAGCTTTACCTGGTGACGTTGGTAGAGGGACAACTATATCCATTCCCCATTTCATGAAAGGCAGAGACATGAATGAGTGTAGTTGCTCTCCAGGCTGGTGAATCATTGGTGCGAACCTTTGACATTTATCACATTTTTTAACAAACTCCTTGGTGTCTTTTTCCATGGTTCGTAGGTCCCTCGATTCATTGTGGTCCGATGGGAGTCTTCCATTTTTCAAATAATCGATATACTTATTCCTCTAATCCCAAGTCAAATTTGTAGAATTTATCTCAGCATGACCCTCTTCAATCACAGACTTCGGTAATTGGACGACAGTCCCCAGGACGATATCATCTTCTTCAACAGATGACCCCAAATTAGCAAGTGTATCGACCTCACTATTTTGCTCTCGAGGCACATGATCTAGAGTCCACTCATTGAAGCGGTGCAAATTTACCTGTAGCTTATCCAATTACCATTCCATCCTATCCTCTCGAACTTCGAAACTTCTATTTACTTAATTAACCACCAACAGTGAATCACACTTGGCTTCAATATTTTCTACCCTAAAGCTTTTAGGTAGCTCGAGACCTGCAATCATGGGCTCGTACTCGGCCTCATTATTAGTCAACCAAGAAGTTTTGATAGATTTTCTAATAATACTACCTGTTGGTGGCTTCAAAACAATACCGAGCCCGGACCCTTTCACATTCGAGGCACCGTCCGTGAAAAGGGTCCATACCCCCAACGATGTACCTGATTTTAGCAGAAGTTCTTTCTCCACTTTGGGTACGAGGGTCAGCGTAAAATCGGCCACAAAGTCAGCCAAGATTTGAGACTTGACGGGTGTTCGGGATTAATATTTGATATCGTACCCACCGAGTTCGACTGCCTATTTGGCCAATCGTCCTGATAGTTTGGGCTTATGCAAGACATTTCAGAGAGGATAAGTGGTTAGTATACATATGGGATGACATTGAAAATATGGCTTTTACTTTCTAGATGCGCTTATTAATGCAAGTGCTAATTTTTCTAACTGAGGGTATCTAGTTTCAGCATCTCCTAGAGTTCTGCTTACATAATAAACAGGAAATTGCGTACCTTGCTCTTCTCAAACTAGTACTCCACTTACCGCTATCTCGAACACTACCAAATATAAGTAAAGCTTTTTATCTAGCCTCGGGGTGTGAAGCAAAGTGGCCTCGATATATATCATTTCAACTCTTCTAAGGCTTGCTGGCATTCCGAGGTCCATGCAAAGTCCTTTTTCTATTTGAGCAAGGAAAAGAACCTATGACTTCGATGTGATGACCTCAAAATGAATCGACCAAGACGACTATTCGTTATGTTAGCCTTTGCACGGATTTCATGCTATCCACCATTGTGATATATTTGATGGTCTTGATCTTATCGAGGTTGATCTCGATTCCCCGATTAGACACCATGAAGCCGAGGAACTTCCCCAAGCCGATTCCAAAGGCACATTTTCCGGTTTAAGCTTCATGTTGTAATTCCTCAAGATTTTGAATGTTTCGTGCAAATGAGTTAAATGGTCCTCTGCGCGCAGGGACTTAACCAATATATCGTCAATGTAAACTTCCATTGATTTACCTATCTGTTCCTCGAACGTTTTGTTAACTAGGCATTGGTATGTAGCTCCAGCATTTTTTAGCCCGAAGGGCATTACGTTGTAACAATAAGTTTCAAACTTAGTGATGAACAAGGTCTTCTCCTGGTCCCCCGGGTTCATCTGAATCTGATTGTACCTAGAGTAGGCATCGAGAAAGGTAAGGATCTCATGGTCGGCCGTGGCATTGATCATGTGATTGATGTTAGGTAGTGTAAAAGAGTCTTTAGGGCATGCTTTGTTTAAATCCTTATAATAAACGTACATTTTAAGTTTGTTTCCCTTTTTAGGAACTACAACTATGTTGGCTAACCACTCCGGGTATTTTACCTCCCGAATAGATCCTATTTTAAGAAGCTTGGTTACTTCATCCTTTATGAATGCATGCTTCACCTCGAACTGGGGCCTTCTCTTTTGCTTCACCGGTTTGAACCTGGGGTCGATGCTTAGCCGGTGTGTTGCTATTTCCGGTGGGATCCATGTCATATCTAAATGGGACCAAGCAAAACCATCCATATTATTGATAAGGAATTGAATGAGTTTTTTCCTGAGTTTGGGGGTTAACCCCGTTACCAGGTATACCTTTTTCTCAGGCATGTACTCGATCAGTATGACCTATTCCAGTTCCTCGATCGTTGACTTGGTTGCATCTGACTCTTCGGGAGTAACAAAGGTTCGAGGAGTAAGGAAATCCTCTTCTTCTTCTTCTTCTTCGGTTACCTATTCTTCTGTTTCGGTCGAGGCTGGGGTCGTTGATTGCTATTTGGCTGTCTGCTTATCTTTAGTGCTCGATTTTTTAGAGGTCGAATGCACTGGTGCCGGAGTCACATCCTCGACTGCAAACATCTCCTTTGCAGCATGTTATTCTCCGTGAACCGTTTTCACTCCATCCATTGTTGGGTATTTCATCATTTGATGAAGCATTGAAGGTACAACCCTTATGTTGTGAATCCACAGCCTCCCGAGTAGTGCATTGTATCTCATGTCACCTTCGATGACATGGAATTTTGTATCTTGAATAGTTCCCACCACATTTACTGGTAGGATTATCTCCCCCTTCATTGTTTTGCTCTTTATGTTGAAGCCATTTAGGACTCGGGATGCAGGTACAATTTGATCCTGTAGGCTAAGTTGCTCTATGACCCTCAATCTGATTATGTTTGCTGAGCTACCTGGATCCACTAGAACATGTTTAACTTGAATTTTATTTAACAAAATAGAAATTACCAGGGCACCATTGTGCGGCTGAGATATGCCTTCTGCTTCCTCGTCATTGAATGATAGGACGCCCTCGGGCACATAGCTCCGAATCCATTTTTCTCTGGTGATCGACACTTTGGTGTGTTTGAACACAGGCCCTTGTGGAATATCGACGCCGCCAATGATCATATGGATTACATGCTGTGGTTCTTCCTGCTCATTTTTTCTATTTGCATCTCTTTCCCTGAAGTGGTTCTTAGCCCGATCAATGAGAAATTCTCGAAGATGAACCTCGTTGAACAACTGAGCCACTTCCTCCCTTAGCTTCCTGCAGTCTTCAGTTCTATGGCCATGTGTGCCATGATACTTACAAATCAAGTTTGGATTCCTTTGAGAGGGATCAGTTTGTATAGGCCTGGGCCATATGGTGTCTTTGATTCTTCCAATAGCTGATCTGATTCTCGATGCATCTATACTGAAATTATACACCCGACAATCGAGGTGCTTTTGCGGGGTCGGTATGTTTATCGAATCCATTCTTACTCCTGAGTCCCCCAGAGCTATGACCTTGATCATTTATTCATCATTTCGAGGAGCATTACGCCCCGAGCCGTTGTTTCTCCAATCTACATACGGCTGATACCGTTCCTTGTTTGATCTTGATTCCCTATCTGTACCCTCGGGGGCTTAACTGCCAATCTTTTAGGATGAACTGAAACCGAGGGGGCTCCCAACTGGTCGTCCTTGACCCCTGACCTTCGATTGGTAACAATTATACACATCTGACCATGTCACAGCTGGATACTCGATAAGATTTTGCTTTAATTGTCAAGACGTGATAGAACTCCATTCGTTTAAACCCTGCATAAAATCCTGCACTGCCTAGTCATCCGAGACCGGTGATAAATCCATTCGCTCCATTTGAAACCGGAATACGAACTCCCTTAACATCCCATCGCTCTTCTGCCTTATCTTAAAAGCGTTTGATTTCCTCGTTGCCACTTTTATGGCCCCGGCATGTGCTTTCACGAAGGCATCTGCTAACATAGCAAACGAATTGATAGAGTTCAGAGGCAAGTTATGATACCAAATCATGGCTCCCTTAGACAAGGTTTCCCCAAACTTTTTCAATAATACTGATTCGATCTCATCATTATTCAAGTTATTTCCTTTAATCCCGCAAGTATACAAGGTAATATGTTTATTGGGATCAATTGCTCCATTGTATTTAGGTATATCGGGCATACAGAACTTCTTGGGGATGGGCATCAGAGCTGCACTCGGGGGAAATGACTTTTGTATGAATTTTTTGGCATCCAATCCTTTCAACACTGGGGGTGCCCCTGGTATTTGATCAACACGGGAATTATAAGTCTCCACCTTTTTGTCATTATCCTCAATCTTCTTCTGCCCGGACTCGATCCTCTTGGTGAGTTCCTCGAACATCCTCATAATTGTGGGGTCAGTCCCCGATCCATTCCCGTTTGCTCTCTCTGGCACCGACTTAGTATGTCGAGGGTTTTCTGGTTCGACTATACTTAGAGTTTTATTCTGACTTTAAAGTTGAGCGATGGCAATCTGTTGAGCTTGTAGTATCTCGAATATTACTTGGAGGTTGATTCCTCATTCTCCTACACCTTGTGTTCTTTGGCCACCAGATCTAACTTCCCTGCCTACACTTGCTCCAGGGTCTGTGCCTAGATCTGCATTCAAAGAAATGTGTGAACTAACATCTACTGGTTCCACATTTGGCACTTCCCTAGGGTTTATTGGTGATATACACTACAAGAAAAAACCTTATATGCGACCAACATTTAGGGACGAGTTAATAATCTCGTCTCTAAAAGTATATGTATTGGGACGAAATTATGTTGTGGTCCTTAATGCTGTATTTTATTGCGAAGGTCCTAAAGCTGGTCCCAAAAAAAATTAGTAACTGGTCCCAAATTACAATTTTGGGGCCATGAGCGGTAGAGCATACCGCCAAATACTATACTAAAAAATTAAAAAAATTATGAATAGGCACCAAAACTAATATACTAAAATAAAAAAAAATTCTTAAAATTAAAGAAATCTTTATTATCCCAAAACAGAACTACTCTGCCCTAGTCTCTAATAAACTCCGCCTTCCTTCATTCATCTCTAAAAATCTATATTTTCTCAAAGCAAAAGTTGCAAATTCGTTGGTTCCTAAATCGCAGGTCTATCCTAGTTTTCAACCTCGCTCATTTGTGAAACCCAGGTATGCTTTCTCTTCTGAGTTGCTCTTTTCTTCTCTAAGTCCTTCTTCTCCTTCTTCTCTAACATTAAATTGGTAAAAGGTTTCATAATTTTATTTCTTTTTTGTATAATCAATTGATATATTATTGGGTTGGGATTCCTAATTTGATTTCTCTGAAGTATACTCATATTTGTAGCGTACTGTGTGTTTGAAGAATTAATCTTCAAATAGGGGAAAGGTATATTTATATTTGTTCATGTTTGCCGTTTGGGAGAAAGTATATGGAAATGTAATAATGTGGCCTTTTGTTTTGGCCTTGTTGTAAGAGGCCTTGGTGGCCAATTTAAAACCATCAGAATTGAGATTTGCTGGCCAAGTTATAACCAAGCAAATCCAATTCCTTTAGTTATAAATTGAGCCGATTCAGGCTCATTTGAGGTACACCAACAACATTTGAATTATTCATTTCTTGTTCTTCTCCTCCTTCTTTAGGAATTAAGATTATTTTGTAAGAGAGTTGAGTGTCGGAAAATACTTGTGTGAACCCTTCTTTGGAGTGATCTTGTGAGATTATTCTTTTGGGATATTTGGGAATAATTAGAGTTTTTACTCTAATTTTGTACTCTCTTTTGTACTCTTATTGTTATAGTGAAATTGCTCCTCTCCGCTTGTGGACATAGGTCACACTGACCGAACCACATTAAATTGGTGTCTTCTTTATCTGCTTTAATTACCATTATTATCAACTGGCATTGTCTTTGTTATTGTCATTATAATATTGTTTGGCTAAATTCCGCACTACTCGGGTTTTCGATCCTAAAAAATCGCAGGTCTACCCTAGTTTTCAACCTCGCTCATTTGTGAAACCCAAGTATGCTTCCTCTTCTGAGTTGCTCTTTTTCTTCTCTAAGTCCTTCTTCTCCTTCTTCTCTGACATTAAATTGGTAAAATGTTTCATAATTTCGTTTCTTTTTTGTATAATCAATAAATATATTATTGGATTGGGATTCCTAATTTGATTTCTCTGAAGTATACTCATATTTGTAGCATACTGTGTGTTTGAAGAATTAATCTTCAAATAGGGTAAATGTATATTTATATTTGTTCATGTTTGTAGTTTGGGGGAAAGTATATGGAAAGGAGTTGCAAGAAAAATGCAAAAAAGAGATTAGCCTAATTTATTGCTCGGAGGAAGATTAATACTCGGGGGATAGGGGGAGTGTAGGGTCACATGGGGAATATTGGGACAACTATCTACAACTGGTAGAGGTTGAGTCTCGATGGTATTACTAGAAAGTAGCAGTAGTTTAATGTAAAGGAGTCAGAGACCATGAACCCTTGGAAAAAGCTTCTTAAATATTATACTTACTACTTTATCTTTTGTTATGGATATGGTTAGGAATTTAAGAAGGAAATTTCACAGGAGTCAACCCAATTGGTTGATATTCACACCTAATATATCGTCTGACCTTACTATATTCGGTTTAGAAATCGAGATAGAAATCCTGAACTTCATGTCTAATATAGTCAACCTCACCCTTGTGCTCAATTGGCGAGTCTTTGTCTTCAGCAAGTAGTATTCCTGTAAGCAAGATTGAAAAATGTACCTTGTTGCAAATATATATCACATTTCTTTGTTTGATATCATTATTTTCTTTTCCAGTAATATTTCTAAACTATTGAAACAAGTATAAGATTATACTCTCAGTATTTTTTGAAATTTTAAAATGGCAAGCATTTTCATCTGATGTACATTACAATGCATTAACTAAAAAGATAAAGAAGCCTAATCCTCTAGTGCGACCTTAGACTTCAACATAATTTTGTGCATATTGTAATAACTTGTGTTCATCTTAGTATTTTTCCTGTCTTTTATATTTTTTTAATCTAATTTTTATCTACTCTCCAAGGTTATGGAACCTAGTAAGCAATGGATGCAAAATAAGGTGGGATCAACTACGAGGATTGCTGCCAAATATGCACTCGTCGTGCCAGGAGCTATAGGAAAGGGACGAGGACGAGGACTTAAATCTTTCGTTGAGTAGGAGAATATGCCAACTAAGAGTTTATTTCCTCAATCTAGTGATCTAATTAAGTAATACATCCAAATAATTGAAACAACTAAGACTTTTTAAATATAATATTTTTAATTTGCATAACTGAATTTTAATGCCGAAGTGCTAGTAATCTGATTTCTTTTTGACAGGTGCTACAGGGAAGGGACGAGGACAGGGGCTTAAAAAATCTACCACGTTTTCTAGTCAAGGAATGATACATAAAAACAACATCGTTCTTGATAAAGAGTACATGGAAGTTGATATTCCATTGCCTTCATCTACTAATCAAGTTAAGAAATACACCCAAAAAGTTGAAACAGGTAAGTTTTTTCAAATCGTTGTTTTTTTAATTGCATATGTAACTGAAACAAATGCCAAATCTTTTAATAATATGGTTTCTTAAGTTCAGGTGCTATAAGGAAGGGTAACTTCATCTTGTCACACCTCCCTTTTTACCTACCCCGGAAAGGGTATAAGGGAGTTTTTTTCCAACTTAAAGTGACAATCGAAACGAGATTATTTATCTAAGAATCAGAGTCGCCACTTGGGATAATTTATGGTGTCCCAAGTCACCGGTTCAAATCCCAAATCGAGGAAAAATTTGACTCTGTATTACAATCCGCGAACCAGAAATTCGGATAAGGAATTCTGTTAACCCGGGAGAAGGTGTTAGGCATTCCCGAATTCCGTGGTTTTAGCACGGTGACTCAATTGTTATTATTGGTCTATTTATATGATTTTTAGAACACTTTCAAACCCATGTGCGTTTTTACATGCTTTTATTTAATTTTAGGAAGATTTCAACGTTATACAAAACACGTCTTTGGATCACGCCACATGAAATGCACCCACGATCCGTGACATATTTTGTTTAACATTGATAGGATTTGGATTTGGATCACATGAAATGCACACCCGATAGTTTAGGAAGGTAAGTTATTAAAGTAACGCGCCTAAAGCAACTACACGTTTGCAACTTTGCGAGGGTCATGAAAATTACTAAATGGCGCGTCTCAAATTCTAAGGATCAACACAAGATTAATTAAATGAGGGCCATGCAATGACAATTTTTGTTGGGCATGGCGCACCTCAGTTCTAAATTAAAGAGGCATTCAAACTAGCTTTGGAGGGCCATAAGCTATTTTGCGTTATTTAGTATGGCTAACCTCATTCTAAAAAAATATTAATTGTTTAAAGAAAACTGTAGGATTCCTAATTACTCAAATATTGACTAATGGATTTGTTGAAGGCCAAAAGAAAGTACTACTTCATTTTAAAGAAAAACTCAAGCCCAATCAACGAGCCCAATCCGTATGGGTCATGTGCAAATAGAGTATTCTGAGATACACATGTCGAACCTCCACAACAACTGAAATCAGTCAGATTTTTAACGTGCCAAATTAACATTAAACCAAAAGCCATTGCAAGCTTTAGGGCTCGAAGCAGGCCCGTCATGATGAAGGTCGACAAAACCAAAACAGCTCAAAGCTGTGCATTCGTACTTGAGAATGCTTTCGCCACTTGGGCTGGCTTTAAGCCCAAATTTTACAAACTAACAATTAATTTAGATTAAAAGCTAAGTGGGATTAAACCTACAATTATTCCTGACTCTTAGATAAGGGACACAAATTGCCTAATTAACTTCCATATTTACAATTGTCTTAACATAGAATAATTGACCAAATGTTCCCAAACCAATCCATCACTAATCCATTATTATTCATGAGTAAACATACTGGAACTATGGATATCAGTCCTTTAAATAACTTGACAAGAACAGTCATACAAATTTTAAATTTGTTCAAACCTTGGCTTAATCAGTGTACATGATAAATGGAGACTTGTAAAGGGGCCTAATGAACAAACATGATTTCAAACCTTAGGCTCATGGGCAAACATGCTTATAAAACAACATCAATACACGTACAAGCCAAATACCTAACATTTTGATGGATTCAAATAAACATTAGAACCAAAACCTTACTGATATTTGACAGAAACTTAAGCAAAAAATCTGTGATCTAGAGCACAAATCAAAATAAACTAAATAATTGAGGCCTACAGTTCATTTTCCATACAAACAATCCACAAACCTGCTCATACACCTTCTAAACATGTTATTTAATGTTGAAACTAAACAATTGGCTAAAACACAAACCCAATTTTATAAAACCAGTACCAGCTCGTTTAACATCTACCATTACCAATCTACTACATGGTATTTAAATAGTAACGAAAAAAATAAAGAGAAACTATGACAAATACAACCTATATTCCATCGGATTCCACTTGATTCTCATAACCAACATTCAATCAGTATTTCTGGACTAAGGAAATACCTGGAAATGAAAGTAAAGGGGATAAGATCAGCAGTAGCAATAACAGTATCCAACAACAGAAAGAAACCACAAAAAAAAAAATAGCTGTAAACCAAAGACTGATGCTCAAAAATCAAAAATCCACAACCAGAACTTCAAACCAAGCTTTTAAACCACCAAATTCAAATCATTTGAGCCCAGATAAGTTAGAAACTATTTTAGGAATTAGAAACTGAAGAGATCACAGAAAGAATTCAATCAAACCGTGAAAAGAAGCCGTTTATATTTTTGGAATTTTATCCCCTAGGTCTCTCTCTTATTTTGTCCTTCCTCTTAAACTTCTATATCTCTATTTCTTTTTCTTTGGACTCTATATTCTGTCCCTTCTCTTTCAATCTTTTCCTAAGCAAGCTTTATATAGGATCTCTTAAGGCAGCCTAAAATCAATTCCCTATTCACAAATGCCCCTTCCTCAATTTCTGAATTGATTCCACTCAATTCTTTGCTCTTTATTTTATTCAATAATGCACTCCTAAACCCTACCACTATTAGAAGCTTCTTAATTAGTTAGGTAAGGTTCACACAACCTAAATAATCCCTAGGCTATCCTTACAACCCCTGTTAATTACTCAAACCTAAGAAATGGGTCAAATTGACCCAAAGTCCTTGAGCTACTGTATGTGATCCAAACCAATTACTGCGATCATATGGAAGGCAAAAAACAAAAGCGACTACTTAAATGGATTCAACATAGGACTGATTAATAACAACTACTATATAACTGATTAATATCAACAAACAAACATAAAATTAGTTAGGTTATTAAAACAAACGGCCTAATTATATGAACTAAGTCAGCGGACCAATAAGAATCATAGAACAACTTTCACAAAAAGAAACAAAGGGGACAATGAGCAGAGAACTGTTTGAACTCAACAGATTGGTCGAGTTTTCAAAGGGAGTAAAAAAAATCTAACTAAAGAAAGGGAGAGGAAAAAGGAGATGAAATGAATTAAAAGAATGAAAACACTTACCATTTCAAAAATCAACAACCTGCTATAGACCTTGATTTAACGAGACTGATGTTAAATATTTGTTCTTTGTCAAGAACAACTGAGCAGCATCAGTCTTCATCGAATCTAATCTTCAAAACTTTGATATAAACAACATCATAAGACCATGCATGCCACTAGGTTTTATTGAGGACAATCTTAGATTTTTAAGTCTCGACCTCAAATTTAAGATTCGAGAGATTCTGACAATATTCGAGGGAAAACAATAATGGATTTGGTACGAGGGAGATATGGGGGTTAGGTGATGTTGATTTAGGGTCGATTGGGTAAGTTAGGGTTTAAGGGTGTGACCTTCGATCTCATATTTGAAGAGTTCGACTGTGATTCAAAGGTAATGGGTTGAGGATTCAGAATAGGGAGATGAAGGAGAGTCGATGGTGTGAATTTGGGGTTGTTTGGTGGTTCTCCGCCGCCGTAGGTGATTTCCGACAGGCGGTCAACGGTGGTTTGAGGCGGCGATTTTGGCTGGTCTCTAAGAGAGATCAGAGACGATGAGGGAGAGGGGGTCTGAGAGGGTAAGGGGTTTGAGGTTTTGAGTATATTAAATTGATGATTTAATTAGGGCTGGTGGATGGTTGGAATCCAACGGCTCTGATTAAATCATTAATGGGAAACAGGGTTGTTTTGTTTCACTGGGGGGAACCGATTTGGTTTTGGATCGAGTTGGGGTTTGGGAAATAGGCGAGAATCTGGACCGTTTGATCAAACTAATTCAACGGTCCAGATTAAAACACCTGAAACGACATCTTTTGGATTAAGCTGGAGATGGATCGGCTATTGGGGTGGGTCTGGGCCAGTTTTGGTTGGGTTTTGGGGACAATTGTCAAGTTTGGCCCAAATACAGCCTTTTCTATTTCCTTTTATTTTCATTTCTTTTCCTTTCCCAATTTTTTTTAAATTAAACTAAAATAAAAACCTAAATTAATTCCTAATCCAAATTATCTAATTAATTTAATTAACTCTAAATTGTGACTACCACAACTAAGTTAAGTACCAAATTAAAGGGAGAATTACCAAAAAATCAAAAATTTAAAAGCAACAATAAACTATTTTTTGTGATTTTCCATTTTTGTAAAGCTACTTAATTAATTCTTAAAATATCAAAGTTAAATACTAAATGAAAAAAAAAATGCAATATTTTTTTTATTTTTAAATAATTTAAATAAAATAAACATGCACAGACAAATACAAACAATAACAGAAAATGCCACAAAAAATCCGCAAAATTGCGAACAATGGGAAACATTATTTTGTTTTTGAATTTATGAGAATAATTCATATAGGGCAAAAATCACGTGACAGCTGCCCCTCTTTGCTCGGAAACACGAAGAGTTTTCGTGCAAAGATCAAGTGAGCGGATACGAGCGATTTTTGCCCATTTGAATACTCCGTGTGAAGTATCTTTGAAAGAATCTGACCGAACCTCTACTTCAAAGATTTCCTACATATCCTTGGCTATAAAGGAATCAGGTCAGTGTAGTTCGGGAAGTTTCAGTAGCTGGGACTACCATGAAGCTGTGATTTCACTGTTGCTGCTGCTGCTACTGCTTACTGACCTCCTTATTACACCGTGACAAAATAAAAGAAGCTAGACTAATCTATGAACTATGCATTACAAAGATTTATTTTCAAACTTGATCTTGTGATTGTTGTTGCCTTGTTGACTTGTATTTTCCTACAGAAGTTCCTTTGTTGCTGACTTGAATCGTAATTTTGTGATGCTTTCCCTTTCCTTTAATTACTTTCCCTTGTTTTCTAAGTGGATACCTGATTGCCGAACTTTAACCATCTTCCTTTGACTATTATTGCCTTTCCTTGAATTGCTTCCTTATGTTCTTCTTCCTTTCATTTTAGGTGGTTTCTTGATTGCCAATACTTGAATTGTATTCCCTTCCTATGAAACTCGAATTGCTTTCCCCTTTCAACTTGAACTGTCTTCTTTTGACCATTGTTGCCTTCCCTCTGTTCTCCAAGCGGGTTCCTGATTACTGAAACTTGAATCGTATTCCTTGCCTTCGTTCTTCAGGCGGGCTCCTGATTATTGAAGTTTGATTTGTACTTCTTCCCTTCGTTCTCCAGGTGGGATCCTGATTTCAACAAAATTTGAATTTGTACTTCTTCCCTTTTTCTTCAGGCGGGCTCCTGATTTCCAACAT